CTCCTCCTCCCTCCCCGCCCCTGCTCCTCTCTCTCTCCCTCCCTCCGCTCCCCAACACCCCCACCACGGCCGCTCACCGCTGATCCTCGCCCTGCATCTGCGTCTGCCGCGTGCCCGCGCCGCCGAACCCGCCCATCCCCCCCATGCCGCCGCCGAAGAACTGCTCAAAGATGCTGAAGGGGTCCGTCGCGCCGCCCATGCCGCCCATGCCGCCGGCGCCGCCGAAGCCGCCCATGCCGCCCTTGAGGCCGGCCTCGCCATACTTGTCGTATATCTGCCGCTTCTGGTCGTCCGACAAAACCTCGTACGCCTCGCCGATCTGCTTGAACTGGGCCTCTGCGCCTGCCTCCTTGTTCACGTCCTGAGGGCGCGGCGCGGCGCGGTTGTGAGTGGTTGGGGCGGGCGGCGCACGCCCCTCGCCGGGGCGCTGCAGGCGCGAGAGTGGCCGGCCGCTGCGGCCGTCGTAGGGGCGGGGCCGCGCGACGCTCGTGCTGCGGCCCGTGCGTATGCGTGGTTGGCCAAGCATGCGAGCGCATGCGCATGCATCCCGCGCTGCGCCGCGCACCGGGTGGTACTTGCGGGCTTTGGAACGGTATGCCTGCTTTATGGCCTTCTTGTCCGCGTTGCGGGGCACCCCCAGCACATCGTAATAGTCAGCCGCCCTGACCACGACTGAGAGGCCCCTGCCAAGCACAGACACAAGGCAGGGCAAAGGGGGCGGGGCGCTGTTTCAGCCGCAGCAGTGCCGCAGGCGGGGGCGCACGCACAGATGATGGGATTGGTATTCAGCGTGCACACAGCCCCACCTCAGGCTTGCAAGCATAAGCACACTCGCGACCACTGCATGCTCACCTGCTGCGTTGGTGCAGGCGCGCCCGCTGCTGCCCGGCGGCGCGCGGCGGCGCAAGGGCGGCCACTGGGTGCACACCCTTATGCCTGCGGATTGGTTCCAAGCGTGATGTATAAAGCGGCACCAAATAGAGCATTGACAGCGATCATCGTGTGTTGCCGCAGTCTCTCACCTGCTGCCGCAGCCGCTGCGCAATGGCGCATGCCCATCGCAACTACCGAGGAATTGCATTATGTGTGTCAGCTTCTACGCTAGCACAGCTGCGCCCCTGACGGATTGGAGCTCAACTCTAGAAAATGCGGCCGATCTGCCACGCACGGAGCTTGATTGAGCGCTTCGGATCAATTCAAAAATCAAAACTGCGTAGTCTCGAGATTTTCCTGTGGGCGCGACTGGCCTGACCTATCACACCGGGCTTGTCGTCACCAGCAGGCCGCCCCCATGGGAGCGGCCACCCGCCCCCCGCGCCACTGCTGATTGTCTGCGTCACAAATCACCCAGCACAACGCCAGCCTTGCTGGACGACGGAGGGGGGGGGGCTGTGAATCTGGTTGAGTCGTAACATACGAAATTGCTTGTGGTGCGTCGCACTCGCGGGCTAAGCAGTTGAGGCCACATGGGCACTCGCGCGCTAGCGCGCCACGGCAGAGCCGGCAGTCTAGTCAGGCTTAAGTTAACAGGAGACGCAGTCAAACGGTGCCAAAAAGCGGTCAGAAGTGTGCATGAGGCAGGGCGAGCACCTGCTGCCACCGAAGGCCGAGTGCGTGCACACACGATGCAAATGCAGGGGTGCCTTGCATCCCGCTTTCAGCGACCCTCCTCTTCGGCATTGGGTTTTAACGCCTTGGTCATGAGCAGACCGCTTAGGCACGGCCCCGATGACCACACATCGACGACCTGGTGGAGGGCAGCGGGGCCGCTGCCGATGTGAGGTTGGTTGCGAGCGGTTGCTGGGGTGTCGTAGGCTTTCGCGCCGGCGCGTGAAACGGGGGACTAGGTAGCCAGGCAGGCAGACGGGCAGGCAGGGCTAGCCAAAATCGGTTTCCATAGCCCTTTTGTGCGCAGGTAGACGCGCCGACAATCCTGTCGGCGCGCCAGACCATGAGGGGGCCTGGAAAGACTGCAATCGTGCATAGCAGGTGCCCTCGAATGCGGGGCACAGGGAGAGCGGGAACACGATGGGTAAAGGAAAGAGTGCCTCGAGCCGCGTCTGCGCCCGGCGCCAGCGGCGCCCAGGGCAAGGGCCCATTGGCGCAAAGCAACCGGCATCTGGCTGGGGCACTGGTCCCAGCCGGGGGCGGCCAGCGGCGGGGCCATGTGCGGCGGCGGACGCGGCCGCACTTGCTGCCGTCCCGGAGAGCCATAGAAAGGGGGCTCATGCAAAAAAACAGGACGCTCGCGGTTGGTTGCGAGGAGAGGCGTCGTGGTGACAGCAGTGGAAGGCGTGCGGGTGGGAAGCACCCAGCGCCCTCGTGAGGTTTACGAGCGCCCCCTACCCACACGTGCAGTCACCCACCCTCCCGCCCACACACACGCCCCGGCGTCCCACTGTCCGGCGCGGCGACGCCGCGGCGCGGCGCGCCACGCGTCACATGATGGCGCAGCTGCAGCCGGGCGCGGCGCCGCCGCCGGGCGGGTCCTGCGGCAGGTCCCTGAGCACCTCCTCGAGTGTGGCGATGATCTGGATGAACTCGGGCCGGGACTCGTAGTCCGCGGCCCAGCAGGCCTCCACCAGCTGCTTGAGCTTGTCGGGCAGCCGCCGGGAGATGCTGCACCCGAGGGGGAGGGGGGGAGGCGGCGGCGGGGCGACGGGCGCGTTGAGTTGTGTGTGGGTGTCGGTGTGGGCGTGCGTGTGCGCATGCGCGTGTGCGCGTTGGTTGGTGGGTAAGAGTGTGTATGTGTGTGTATGTGTGTTTTCATGAATGTGGTTGCGCTTGCGCGCGTGCGCATGCGTGTGTTGCTCGCTTGACATGCTGGATACGGGCCGTTGGCAACGGCAAGACACGCTGGATACGGGCTGTTGGCAATGGCAAGATAAAAAATTGGGGCAGGACACAGCACCTGCAGTCGCCCGGCGTGCCAGGCAACGCCACTGCGCAGCTGACACACCCGGCGCTCGGCGCCGTCACCCCTGGCCCCCAACCACCCCCCCCCCCCAAAAGCAGCTGCTCTCACCCGTGCGCCGCGCCCCACTCCGGCCGCTGCCCGAAGTTGCAGGCCACCTTTGCGGCCTCCACCGGGTCCATCAGCCAAAAGGCCGGCACGCCCTCAAACAGCTGCCGCAACAGGGGACGCGATCAACCACGAGGGCAGTCAGGAACGGGCTGCCTGGCTGCCGTGCTCGATGGCTCAAGTCGCTCGCGCGAAAGACTGCAAGCCAGGCAGCGCACAGC